TCAGATCCTCTCAACATGGATCCATAAATGAATAGTGGGCTCGTCAGCCACACCGTGCGGCACCAGTCTCTGATTGGTTCGATGCACAGCGGTAATAAACACTGTGCGGGTATATATGTGATGCTGTAAGGTGTGACAGTTCCAAGAAACAATAGCAAGCAGAGCTGCTGAAAAGCCACTGTAGACTCTTTACTTCCAACTTAGTCTGAGGATGAGGTCGCAGATCCAAAGGGTTCCTCAGATTGTGGAGCTGCTGAAGAAGAAGACCGTGGGGCTGCAGCACTTCAAGCCCACATCTTCAGTGTGCGTCCTGGAGGAGAAGGATGCTGTGGAGGCTGCGCACTGTCCCCACGCTGCCTCCAGAGCGCACAGCCTGGACGCGATGCCCGGACCCACCAACTGGCCCCTGGTGGGCAGTCTGGTCCAACTCCTGCGTAAAGGAGGTCTGACGCGGCAGCACGAAGCGCTGGTAAACCATTAATAAATTAAAAAATTTGTATCTACTTAACGGAACTTTTATTTTTCGCATTAATACATTTTAAAAAAAATTATCTACTTAACGGAACTTTTATTTTTCATTTATCTGCTTGTTAGTGTTTATATTCACTGCGTTTCGTAATTTTAGGTTGATTATCATAAGAAATTTGGCAAGATCTTCCGCATGAAGCTGGGCTCCTTTGAGTCGGTCCACATTGGTGCACCTTGTCTGCTGGAGTCGATCTACAGGAAGGAGGGAAACTACCCCCAGAGGCTGGAGATCAAACCCTGGAAGGCATACAGAGATCTGAGGAATGAGGCGTACGGACTTCTCATCCTGTAAGTACAGTACACGGAGTTTATGGATCTAAAAAAATAAATAAATAAAAAAACTTTAAACGGGGATGCTCCCTTTTTTCATGGTAAAACGTGATGGTTTTCAGTGAGGGGGAAGACTGGCAGAGAGTGAGGAGCGCTTTCCAGCAGAAGCTGATGAAGCCCACCGAGGTGGTGAAGCTGGACCGGAAGATTAATGAGGTGAAGAGGAAGAAGTGATCCACACGAAGTTATTCTTTTTATGGTTAGACTGAGATGTACCTGATTAAGTACTACAACAGATACTCGTTTGTCCGAACAGGTGTTGAAGGATTTCGTCGAGAGAATCGGACAAATCAACGTCAGTGGAAAGATTGAAGATTTGTACTTCGAGCTGAACAAGTGGTCTTTTGAGAGTGAGTGCACTTTCCCATTGTTTTCTGTTTTTTTTGAAAACTACAACTACATCTAACCCTCATAAATAACTTCATTCATTATCGTAATTATGTATTGGTTAATGTGTGTAGTCGATAAATGATCGAATACAATCGCGTTTTAAATGAATGGAAAAGGCCAAGGAGAACTTTGTATTAAGGCCTAAATGATTTTATCACATTTGTGGTCTGAATATTTGATGATGATTTAATTGATTTGAATTTAAATTATAGAGCTGAAATTAGATCAACATTATCTCTCATAAAAATTATAATATTTTTATGTTGTTTGTCATTTATTTATGTGAACCAGTTGTAGCGCTGACATGTAAGAGGTCAATTTGTAAACTATTGGTAGATGTATTTTTTTTTATTGTTGCATTTGGTCATTATTATTATTTTATTTGTATCATAAAAAAAATATATATATAAATAAGGCCAGTTCCAGTTTCCATCAGGAGTTTGTTAGGAAAAAACTCCATTTGTGATTAATTAAGTTATTCTGTTTCTGATTCTGATAAAAATGAAAAAAACAACCTTATAGTCATATTTACTCCAACTCCTGCCTTCTTTAAACCATCAGCTCAATAAACTTGTTTCTCTCTTTTTGCCTTGCAGCCATTTGTCTTGTCCTCTATGACAAGAGATTCGGTCTCCTGCAGGAGGAAGTCAACGAGGAGGCCATGAACTTCATCACAGCTGTGAAGACTGTGAGTATACTACAGTACAACTACACTATTTTAAGCGGTGGTCTCTGACTGACACCGACCGGTTCACCGGGTTCATCACGCTGAACTGCAGCCGGTGATGCAGCAGTTCAGCGTCTGACTGACTTGTATTTGCTGGGATTTACTGGGGCAAACCAATATCATCCAGAGTCAGGAGACGATAAGTGGAGGCTCACAAAGGTCTCCTGGGGTCAGAGGGTTCAGGGCGGAAGGAGAAAGGAGATTAAATGGTAGCCGGGAGTGAGTCTGGTGATTAATCCCTCCGTCGTTTCCTCTGTTGTGTCGTGTTCACCACAGATGATGAGCACCTTTGGTATGATGATGGTCACCCCCGTGGAGCTCCACAAGAGCTTCAACACCAAAACATGGCAGGACCACACGGCAGCATGGGACCGCATTTTCAGCACAGGTATTAACCCAGATTTCAAATTTAACATTTTAAATTTATTTATTTTGATGGTGAGAATTTCAGTCATCAGGTTCCTTGATTTATCGCACGCCGTTCGATAAGATCGTTGCCACTGGACTGACATTAACCTGGAGGTTCACATGTTGTTCATGTTGGTCTGAGCTCACTTCCAGTCAGAGGCAGGAAAGCACACAGGGGGAGGGGGGAGGAGAGAGGGGGGGTGGACAGGGGTCTACGATGGGGTGAGATATAAAGGGAGGGCAGGAGTGAGATTTGAACTAGTCGCCTCAGTTGTTTGTGTACTTGGCAACGGCTGTAAATGTCAGGCCGAGTTGTAGTAAACTGCATGACCTAAGAGTGAGAAATCTGCCAAATATTTGTAGTAGCAGGAGGTGGGAGAGGGGAGGCGAGGGGGGGCAGAGGGGGGTGAAACACAACAGCGGGACAGAGATGGTGGCGCTGGCTGTTTACTCGACTTTTGCTACAACCTCTCACAAACAAACACACGAGAACAAACACTTCGCCGACGCGTTGGGGAAAGACCGGTAGAAAGTTTGAATATTGACGGTTGTTGTTGTGTTTGATGAAGTATTTTATTGTAGTAAACTTTGGTCTATTGAGCTGTACCTACATGTTTTCTTCCACATAGCTCTAAGATACACTAAATGTTTATAAAAAAACAAGGCTATTTGTCTATATATCCCCTGTTCTAGTCCAAATACTTCTGCAAGTTTTAGTCTGAGAACTCCGCGTGACCTCTTTGACGTCTGGTCACATCCTGCCCTGTCTAAAGATTCAGATCTAGTTCCTTTACTTCTTTTATCAGTTTCTGGAACTTATAATATCCAGTTAAACTATATCCTCACTTGCTTGTGTTTTTTCTTTTTGCAGCTAAAGTCTACATCGACAAGAAGCTGAAGAGAAACGCTGTCAGAGCTCCTGATGACATAATTGGTGACATCGCGCACCACAGCCGCCTCTCAAAGAAGGAGCTGTACGCCGCCATCACTGAACTGCAGATCGGAGGAGTGGAGACGGTGAGTGATGAACCCAGTCATGAACCTCTGACAGATGCAGGTTCTCATTCCTTCAAGGAAAAATGACACACTTCAAAAATGGGCTCAATTGTTCACTCAATTAAAATTAGAGAGTAGTAGTCCTGCACCGGGAGTTGAGGCAGCTGCTGAAATAGTGTTTCTGAATCGGTGGCTCAAGGACCAAAATTAGGGACATTGGGATTGGTTTAGAGACCGGATAAACCAGAACAGATAACTATCCTAACATTTACGAGGACGATCGTATGGTCATTATATATAAAGCCATCCGTCCATCCATCCATTCATCCATGCATCCATCCATCCATCCATCCATCCATCCATCATCCATCCATCCATCCATCCACCCACAAATACATCTATTCATCCGTCCATCCATCCATCCACCCATCATCCACCCACCCACCAATACATCCATTCACCCATCCATCCTTCCATCCGTCCATCCGTCCAAACAAACATCCCTCCATCTGTCATTTATACGCTGATTTACGATCTCATCTATATTTCCTAAACTTTACCTTACAGCCATCCTTGCCTAATTCCTTCCTCGTAGCCTTAACGACTTGGGGTCATCTTAGAAACACAGATGACGACACAGCAGAAGCACGGCATCGTTAGTTTACAAGCATGCGTTAACCTTTTTGATTGCTTCCACCTTTCACCTATTTTTCTTCAAGTGGGGGTGAAAAGGGTTGACTCTCTAAAGTAAACAGGTGCTGCGGTTACAGTGCTTTAAAGACTAAAAATGAATGAGTTGTGGATGTAACTAAAGAGCCTTTGAGGAACCTCAAACATTCCTCAGCTCCCTTCAGGACCCCACCAGGGAATGTGCCTGAAGTAGCCTCAATAAGTGATACTTCCTCTCTCCCTCCCTCCCTCCCTCTCTCAGACTGCCAACAGTATGCTGTGGGCTATTTACAACCTGTCACGTAATCCGGCCGCTCAGACGAGGCTGCTCCAGGAGATCAGAAAGACAGTTCCACATGGCCAAGATCCGAATGGAGAACACATCAAGAGCATGCCCTACCTGAAGGCCTGCCTCAAGGAGTCTATGAGGTACAGTACTACAGTAAAGTTACACCAAACCTGGCTGATAAAAGTGATGAGGGGCAAAAGAAGTACATTTTTAAAACTAGATTTCACAGGGAAAAACAAAATGTCTCTCTTCAATTCTGAGCAATAAGATGAACAGTTTATCACGTGGAACCAGTATTTCTAAAACCCGGGAGATTTAAAGTAGTCTACATACTAACCAGGAGATGAAACTCATGCCTTTGTCATGGGTTGCCATAGTGAAAGTCCTCATAGTTTGGCAGAAGTGGCTAACCCTCATAAAGTCCTGATGCAATCAACTTTGGTCCTTTGGGCTCAAAATTACCCTACTTTGTTTTAGAAAGTCATTGCATGAGCAAACTAAGGCCCGGGGGCCAGATGCAGCCCTTTCAGTTTTTTAATCCGGCCCGCCAAACATCTCCAAATTATAAAATGTATCTATATTATCATTATACTTCTAACTTTTCCATGCAATACCAACATTTCCCCAATAGATGACATTTCCCCAATTGATGGTGTAGAAAATGATAAAAGCATTTTTAGCCTTTATGCATGACTTTTCCCATTTATCTTAGTTCAAGCTCCATCTTTCTCCTCCTGACCCAGGGCCCCAGTTGGTCAATTTTAAGATAATTGTGGCCTGTGAGTCAAAAAGTTTTCCCAATCAGCACAACTCTGTACCACAACATAGGGTATTCCCTCATTTTTTAAATTCAGTGGCAGGAGACCCTTCATGAAGGTATAACTACAGAAAAGAAGTGGGGATGTGCGATATCTGAGGATCAACATCTGGCAACCGCTAGTAACTGATTCTACGTCTCGTTTTTGCCATAATGTCAATTAGAACATCGTGAGTTTATAGTAAAGAAAGTTGCAGAGAAGTATCACTTGATCAGTGCCCGTATCAAACCCTACAGTCCAGTCACCGGGTTCATATAAAACCCGTGGCCGCATCTTGATTTCACCTGGTACCACGGAGATTAAAAGGAAACACTTACACACTTGACTGACTTTAAAAAAAGCTCCATGCGATACAGGCATGACTGGGAACAACCTATGCTCCCGGCTTAAAATACATTACGCGGTCACGTTCATATGCCCGCACGGCCCCTGTACAGTCTTCTCTCTGGCCTCGTCTTATACTGTCACGAGAAGAAGTTGTTAAGCACGTTATCAAACGCTAATACCGTAGCCGCATAACCCGGGGGAATGTTTATGGCCTCCGCGCGGAGATTAGAACCCGCCTCATCTCGCTCCTTCTGTTTTAGATCCCGTTAAACAGCTTAAAAATTTGTGTCAAGCTATATTACAACTTCACTCACTCACTATTCCCATGACTTTATTCAAATTCTTACAGGTTATCGCCATCAGTTCCCTTCACCAGCAGGACCCTGGACAAAGACACTGTGTTGGGAGATTATGCCATTCCCAAAGGAGTAAGTGGATTAGTTCTGGGTTGCTTTACATCTAATATGAGCAGATTCATTTTCATACACATATATAAAAATGGTACAAGTCATCCTTAGGGATTTGTCCTAGAACAAGGAGCGTTACAAATGCTGCTCAAGTACAAGGCAAGGACATAGGTCCAAATGGTACAAGTCATCCTTAGGGATTTTATACTGCTCTGTCATCTGTATCTGTATGTTAAATTTCTTTTTTTCTTTTTTTTTATCCCGCTCACAGACAGTTCTGATGATAAACACACACGCACTGGGCTCCAATGAGGAGTACTTCGATGACGGGAAGAAGTTCAAGCCCGAGCGATGGCTACGAGAGACTAGCACCATCAACCCCTTTGCCCACGTTCCCTTTGGCATCGGGAAGAGGATGTGCATCGGCCGGCGGCTGGCAGAGCTGCAGCTGCGTCTGGCCATGTGTTGGGTAAGGATTGATCACACCAGGCCTGTCAAATAATTCATCATTCTGATGGTCTTGTCATGCTGGATGGTGAGATGGTATTTTGAGCTTGAGGCGCTACAGTGAAACGTGCATGGGAATTTGTTGAATGACTGTTTTTTGTTTCCTCTCCTGCTCTGCCTCAGCTGGTCAGGGACTATGAGATTGTGGCCACAGATAACGAACCCCTGGATGTGATCCACTCAGGACTGCTAGTGCCCAAACGAGAACTGCCGGTAGCCTTCATCAGAAGATGAGGTGAGTTTACGGATTTCAACTTCAGTTTAGATTACACCTTTTCATCAGCAGGGAAGTGACGAAAATGAGCTCCAAAGTGTGCGTTTACATCGATGAATAATTTCTCCTACCCCTGTTTCCTCAGGCTCCATGTTCAGCTCTTCAGGGTGCGGTGATGTACAGATGACGCCACCGTTTCCATGGCCTTATGACTCCTTGTACTGCTGCTCTGCAAATAGAAAAAAAAAACAAACATGTAATACACATAATCCTGCCACAAATACCTCGACATGTATTTAATACTACTACTTATGATTGCTAATGACTGACTAAAACACTAGTTGTTGTGTACGGAGTGTTGTACAAAGGCAGCTGCCTCTAAATCTTAATGTAATAGCTGCAGATTTGTGTATGTAGACGACACTCTTTTATGCATTGCCATTATATGGTGTATATACGATGTATTTGTAATATTGTAAAAAAACAATGTACATTTTATTTTATCTAGAGAGCTATTTTATTTGCTCATATTAATAAACGTTTTAGAAAAAAAAAGAAGAAGATGAAGAAGCCTGATTTGTCTTTTTAAGCGGTTTGTGCATTACAAACACCCATGACTCGAGGCTAAAGAAAAAAAAAAAAGCCTAATAATTTATTAAAAGCTTACGTCGTGGACAAAACAGTTTCTTAACAGGAGTCAGCTAATTCGATTGGCTTAGCTTATTTCTGTTTGACAACAAATGAACAAAATCCCGTTCGGTAAAGGTTAAGCAGGTCGTTTGAAGGGTCACATGTTTCCAGTATAAAATACAGTGCTGTAGATTTTTCTTTGAGGGTGAGAACTCAACAACCCCACATTCATGAGAACGCAGAAGATGAGGATTAAAGAAAACGTTGCGTGACAGATTCCGGCCTCGACTTTAAAGGCTCATTAGCTATATTCTATATTTGAATATAAATCCATTTTTAACCTCAACTCCCAGTGACTGTAAGTGACATATCACTTCACACTTTGATGCACCAGATTGAGACTACTCTCACATGACTCCCATGTGGACCTAACTCTCACATGGGACATTGGGCCACATTGACACGTGAAGACCTGAGAATTCCATGAGCGCTTGCTGGTCAAAAAACATCCATGCAGTAAAGCATCTTCCAGATGAATGATTTAAAACAGTTGAAGTGGATACAGCCCTGCACGACAACCAGGACCCAACTGGACATAATCTCACAAGTGACAGGTTTATTTACTGTACATCAATAATTAATTACTGATTTGTTTGGAGTCATTTAAAACTGTCAAATTAAACCAAATGAGACCTAGCTTGTTGTAAGGCCTAGATTAAACCTCAACCCTCATTTGAATTTTGTATTCATCACACTGTAGGAATCATCATAATCGTTGAGTTAATGAGACCTAGCTTGTTGTAAGGCCTAACATCACCAGCAATAAATGAAGATTGTATGTAAAATAAAGCTTAGTCGGGACCGCACTGTGGTTAATGGTGAGCCCTCTTGCCTTACAACAAGAAGGTCAACTGTTCAATACCATGTGTGCACATACTTTTTTCTGCAGGTAGTGCATTTTTATCTTAAAAAAATGATATGCATGACAATGCATATAAAGCATAAAGCAGACTGTGCAGTCAACAGGTTCATGAGGAAAAATTTAAATTTAATTTAAGTTCAACTTGAACAACAACAAAAAACAACAACAAGCATGTTCACCAACGATGCACAGATCGACTAAAAGATTACATAGATTAAATGAGATTATTGTATAACATAATTGCCAGTAAAGACGTAGAACATACCATTACCATTGCCATACTATTATTATGTGTAAAATACTGACTCCCAGTGGCCATAAGCTGTAAAACGATTTCATTCATTTCATTGGCGCCACGAAAAAAGTAAATAATATCGATTTAATCAGGATCAGTTTCTTCGAGCGCAGCAAATGTCTGATTAAAATGCATATGTTAATGAGCAACACAACAACTGCAACTCAGTTATTACAAAATATTAACCCCAGGTTTCTCTACACGTTGCAGAGCAATACATTGACTGACAGCCCACACTTGTTTCCTGTAGATAACACACACAAACCTCACACGCACACACACCTTGCCGTGCAGTGACAGGAAGCGTTAGTTCTTGACTTTCTGGTTGCGGGATATTTCGACTGAGCAGCCGCTTATGTTTTAAACTCTCTTCAAAATTATTCACAAAGCGCCAAAAAAAAAAAAAAAAAAAAAAAAATAAAAATTATTGAATTAGAATTTAAAATTCAGAAGTCGAGAAGGAAATAACAACAACTTCGGTGCATCATGTCTTCTGGAGGTTTAGGACCAGACATCAGTCAGGAGGAGCTGGACTTTGACGAGCTGTTTTTGTATAATATACCTGGGCAGCATCAGCTGTCTGTTGGCTGTGACAAAGGTAAGTTGTATATATTCATATACAGTATATATGAATGCAGTAATCATTGTGATGGTTGATGTTTTGATTTTGTTTAAATCACTTTTCTTTTTAAATCTCCATCATGATAAAAGTAGTGAATATGGCACAAAAATGTCCATGGGTTGTTCTTACTGATTATTACTGCGTGTGTACAGAGCTGTCAGCCCCTGATGTTGCACTGAAATTCTCCTTTCACCGACATCAAGTAGGAAAAATAGGCCTCTTCATTCCACTTGGGAATCTGTAGCTTTAGAAACCCAGCTGAAGTGACATGAGGCAGAAAATAAACTAAAAAAAATACTCTTAACCAACTGATTTATTTGATATAAATTAGCAATTGATTGTTCTTAACTTTGACGGTGAATCCCCATTGGTTAAATGAAAGGATTTATTTTATTATTAAATGAAAGATTTAAAATTAATTTTCATTTAACAAGTATGAATACTCTTAGCTTTCAGAACAACGGAAGCATTTACTGGTGGTACAATGAACTCTAACGCTAACTATAATGTTACCATTCATGGATGGATGGATGGATGGATGGATGGATGATGAATGGATGCACCATTCATGGATGGATGGATGGATGGATAAATGGATGGAGGGGTGTATGATAGCTGGATTGGTGGATGGATGATGGATGGGTGGATGGATGATGGATGGAGGATAGAGGGGTGGATGATAGATGGATAGATGATAGATGGATGGGTGGATGATAGATGGATAGATGATAGATGGATGGAGGATGGATGGATGGATAAATGGATGGATGGGGGGATGATAGATGGATGATGGATAGACGGATGGATGATAGATGGATGGAGGATGGATGGATGGATGGATGGATGGATAGATGGATGGGTGGATGGATGATGGATGATGGATGATGGATGGAGGATAGAGGGGTGGATGATAGATGACAGATGGATAGATGGATGATGGATAGACGGATGGATGATAGATGGGTGTATGATAGATGGATGGATGGGTAGGTGATAGATGGATGGATGGATGATTGAAGGGTGGATGATAGATGACAGATGGATAGATGGATGGGTGGATGATAGATGACAGATGGATAGATGGATGGGTGGATGGATGATGGATGGAGGATAGAGGGGTGGATGATAGATGACAGATGGATGGATAGATGGATGGATATGCTTCCACAGTATCTTCTCATCATGTCACAAACTGTTCTTACTCTCTGTGCTGAAATGTGACTGTCGGTTATTTGCAGAGGATCCAGTTGCTTTCTGTCCAAACACCGACCACACCCCACTGCTGGTGGTGGAACACCACTTCACTTCAGATCAGTCTGCCTCCAGCCAGTCATTCCACAGCCAACCCAATGAAGAGAACCTGTCTGAGGCTATGTTCGACTCTCTGGGCCTGGCATCAGAACCAGGGAACATCCCTGCTCCAAGCCCCAGGATTGAGATCACCCCATCAGGTGACTCCCTCACCTCCCAGACCCTGGAGCCCAAAGTCTTTGGAGCCTACAGGGAGTGTGTGAGTCCTGCTAGCAGCAATTCCTCCACAGGATGGCCGCCAGAGTCATACTCTCCGGCGGCATCACCCTGTGTCTCCCCCTCCCACGGAGGCGGTTGCAGCACGGGATTGTCAGCCCTAGACCTCTGCCCCGGCCTGCAGAGCATCCAAACCCCTTCTTCCGTCCACTCCTCGCCAGGAGCTTCACCTCGCAACAGCATCACAGATGAGACTTTCCTGCTGCCGCAACAGCAGCATGTGACTGTACCTCTTTCCCAGCAACGCTCTCGCTCCATCTCACCACATGGTAAACGAGCCTATGACCAGGTGGGCCCCTGTCCAGACAGCATCCCCGTCAAGCAGCGCTCTCGCAGCCCAAGTCCCATCCCGTCACCTTATGAGCGACAAGAATCACACCATCTTCATCAGTACCAGGCCAATCTTCAGTTTCAGGCCCAACTTCAAAGCTCCTCTTCAGCAGGTCAGGAGAAAGACTGGAATTCCAGTCAGCCCAGAACAGTTCCCATTGTTATGGTACACAATGCGCACGGCCCCGCTCTGACACAGGACTGCGTCTATGGAGAGGTGTACGACTGGGCCGTCGAGCAGGAGAGGATGGTCAGGTCTGGAGCTGAGGTCAAGTCCGACATCTACTATGTGGTCCCACCTGACCCGGCCAATTACGGCACATTTAGGTCCGTTTTTTTTCATTTCCCTTAATGGCTTCTAGACCAGGGGTGTCAAACATACGGTCTGCGGGCCAAAACCAGCCCACCAGGGGGTTCAATAGGGCCTGTTTGTTGAATTTTGAAAATGAAAAAATGCACAAACAAAGGGGAATAACATGGATTTATAGTTATTTATAAGTAATTATGTTATGGTTGTACTGCTCCGGCCCACTTGACACCCCTGTCCTACACCGTGATGCCCTGCTTACTGTAAAGCTCTGATATTGGAACATCTGTCTTTCGATCTCAGTTGTCCCTCGGTGGCTCCCCTACCAGCTTTCGAGTGGCCATTGCCCAGCCAGTGTGGCCAGTGTGAGCTGTTGATCCTGCAACAGCCTCGATCTCACCACAGAGCTCACTATGAGACGGAGGGGAGCCGTGGTGCCGTGAAAACATCTAAAGGGGATCATCCAGAAGTCCAGGTAGGACTGCGACTGTGGACGAGTCTAAAGGCAAAGGCAAAATGCACGTAGTTACTCAAATCTGTTGTCATTGTTGTGTCTTTCTGCCATCAGCTCCGTGGATATCAGGGCTCAGCGCCGCTGATGCTGCAGGTCTTCATAGGCACAGCAGATGAGCGGCTCCTGAGACCCCACGCCTTTTATCAGGTTCACCGCATCACCGGCAAAAATGTCACAACGCCCAATGTGGAGAGGATAATCAACGGGACTAAAGTGCTGGAGATCCCGCTGGAGCCAACCAACCATATGAGAGTGTTGTGAGTGAAACACAAGCACCACCGTTCTGTTCTAAATGATGAAATGTTTAAACGTGTAAGAAAATTAGGCTAGGTCAAATAATTTAACTTGACATGACGCAATCAGCAAGTTCTGTTTTATGATCACGTTTGGCTATTTCCTCTAACAAAAAAATACATGTAAACTACAAGTACATGCATACATAAGTACATATATGCATATATACATACACTCTATATGTATATAGAGTATAGAGAGTATTTCTATAGAGACATGTTATATATATAATATTATATATTTATATACATATATACATATATGTATGTATGTATGCATATAAATATATATTATATTTATGCATATACACTATATGTGTATATAAACATATACATATATGTATATATACACATATATGCATACATATATGTTATATTTATGCATATATGTGTATATAAACATATACATATATGTAAATATACACACACATATGCATAAATATAACATATATAAATATATAATTAGAAATATTAAATTTTGTAAATCTATGCCTTAATCTGCGTTAATCTGGCTTGTTTGGCCTTACATCCCACAGGATTGACTGTGTGGGGATCTTGAAGCTGAAAAATGCAGATATTGAACTGAAGAATGGCGAGACAGACATCGGCAGAAAAAACACACGTGTCCGTTTGGTGTTTCGTGTACACATTCCGCAGCCGGGAGGACAGATCGTGTCTCTCCAGGTCGCCTCTGATCCCATTGAATGCTGTAAGCATTTTTATACTTTTCTTTCAATTCTCAGTTAAAAATTAGCCCTGGAAGAAAAACTGCTGTACTTAAAACACAAAACTGATTGACAGACATTTCTGGTAGACATTAGCTAAGCTGCTCGTACAACATTTTCTCGCCTGCTTCCTCAGCCCAGCGATCAGCTCAAGAGGTCCCCGCAGTTGAGAGGCAGGATCTGGACCGATGCTCTGTACTGGGAGGTCAACAAATGGTCCTGACTGGACAAAACTTCACACAAGACTCCAGGGTTATGTTTTCAGAGAAAACACAAGGTTGGTCATTGAGGAACAAACCACCTAGGCTTAATATCCAAACAACCAACTGTAGATATCTGTTCCACTGCTGTTGGTACCATTTTCATGTTTATGAGCGATCACTCACAAAAGCTACTGCCAGCGGGCTGTTAGCTTACCACAAGGACTGGAAACAGGAAAACATATATAGACGCGATCCACCTACAAGCATCATGACAGCTCACACGATCACACAAACAGGAAAAAAATCTCGACAAAGGAGCATCTTGAAAGCACAACACTTAAACGCAGCATTGCCCCAAAAGAGAAAGTACATTTGTGACTTTGGTGTTAAGAATCATGTGTTTGAGTTCACCTGAGGGACAACAACTTAACTAAAAAGTCAGCAGTATTACACTCATCCATAGAGGTTTTTGTGTGAATGGTAATAGTTTAGCAACAGTTTCCACTCAGACATACAGTATCATTAAGTTGATTATGATTTAAAGCGGTTCACAGCCACGAGTTGTTAAAAATACTCTTGGGTGAAGGTTTTGTTCTCAGCGTTCCTTTCTGCTGCCCACACACAGTTTTGGGGCTGCAGGGTTCAAGAGCCGGATGTGTACAGTCAACTGCATATAAGGCCTCCCTGCACTGAGTGTGAGTTTTCATACAACAGGATGTGGTAAGAGAGACTGATAAATACTCAGACCCAAAGGAGAGGATCTGTTTTTTTTTTTTGTTTTTTTTTTATGACGGTGACGTAAGCAGTAGGTAAAAACCCCGGGGGGAAATGAAATGCTATAAAATCAAATATTTTTTTCCAGTGACCAAAAACAAAACAACGAACATGCTCTACCGCAATGGAAAGATACCTGAAAACAATCGGTATCTGTATTTAGCAAGACAATGCATATGATGACAAACCAAAATTGAACAACTTGCAAAACTGTCTCCGCCTTTTGTTGTCAATGTGTAATAGATGGAAAACAAATCTGGGAGATGGAGGCCAGCGTGAACAAAGATAAGACTCAAGCGGTGAGCAGCTCTCCAAACTGATTTAGTTGGTTTTGTACAGACAGGAAATCACACATCGAATACCAGAGCTCAAGCAACGTGGAGCTGGGTTTGGATATTATTATTATTAATAAAAAATAAATCTTTGCTCTTGTCCTGTCCAGAACATGCTGTTTGTTGAGGTGCCCCCATATCCAGATCAGACCATTTGTCACTCAGTCAAAGTCAACTTCTACGTCATCAATGGGAAGAAAAAACGAAGTCAGCCTCAGCACTTCACCTACACCCCTATGATAGGTACTGACTGTGTGTGTGTGCGTGTGTGTGTGTCTGTGTGTGTTTCTCGTCAAATAATGCTTATTTTATATTTTACAGTCATCAAAGCAGAGCCACTGGACAACTACCGGTCAAACCCATACGGCAGCTCAGATAACTGGTCGCTCTCTGCTCTGTCGGCGAAGCCTCTTTACCCAAACAACTTCCCTCAGGCTCTGAGCGTCTCTGCTACACCGTCCCACCTCACCACCATAGACCCTGTAGCCTACAGCATGTCAACACTCGCTCCCCTGGATGATCGAGCAGCCTACTACCAGAACAGGGCCAACAGTTTGATCAACAGTCCAATGCTCTACCACACGGCGAACCAACATTACAGCGGCTGCGGTGCCGCACTTCCTGTGGTCTACCCGATGGCCTCCCGTTCTGTTGGCATCAAGAACTCGACAGATAAAATGACTAGAAGTCCACAGGTTGCGGATTCGTTTGAGTCTTGTTTGACGTCAAGGCAGACAACATTGCCACCGGGGAAGTCACCTTATTCAACGTTCAACCAAGTTCAAGGCAAGGATGCATGTAGGAGAGAAGTGGTTGAAAGAAACCTTGATGAATGGGCCACAGAGAAAGTCACACTCAAACAAGAAAACCTCAGCTACACCTACTTGGAGGATGGTGAGTAACAGTGGTTCAATCAGTACTGTTAAAAAGTCAGAAAGAAAGAATTCTTCTCTTTGCTTCAACGACACAATTCTGACTCCAGACGCTTGGGCAGCAGAGCTGTTTCTAAACTGTTTCTGATCAATCATTCTAATTAAAAAGTCAAGAATTAAAGATGTTGATCATTGACTGAACAGATTCCTATTCAGTTCAAAAATGGCCGAGGATGATCTGTTGAAGACAACAGAGACACCTAGTGGATAAACAAAATAAGATGCTCAGAAATGGCTAGATGTACACTTCCGGCCCTAAGAAGTAGCATTCACGAGCATTGAGACAAACGAATGAAATAACGAATTATGTTGTTTTTTTTAATTTCATCATTGTAAATTGGCTAATATTTGTTTTTTCTTTAATTTTTAATTTCAGTGAATGACATCATTAAACGGGATGTGAAAGGCCACAGTGAGGAGTAAAACCTGGAGCTCTGCAGCAAGGATACATGTGTATGAAATATGCATAAAGAAAATAATAACGAGCTTTATCTCACGAGTCGGATAGAATAAATTTAAAATGAAAATAAGAACTCAGCTAACTCAAAAGTCTAAGTCTCAAACATTGTGTTAATCAATGTTAACTGTTAACCTGTTTACCTTTGTAAACTGGTTGTTGTAAATGCATGTATATTTTACAATAAACATATAAAGTAAGTTAGTCAAGCGTTTAATGTTGAGGTTTCCCTAAAAATGTTCTAGTTACCATGTCAGGTTTTTACTTTGTTATTCAAATAAATATATTCTCAATCACTCAATCTTCTTAATTAATTTTATTCCGATATGGGTGGAGCTGACGTAAGACAACGAGCTAAGGACCCTCCGATCCAGACCACGACCTCCGATCTTTTATCACAGATCTTCTTGGGTTTCAGCAGGCATTCCTTGAGATGGGTTTCTGCCCTCTACTGGTTGTATTTTATCATGGCAAACATCCCTACTGGCGCCTTCCATCCGTTACGGATAAGCGGATGACAGCAGGTACATTTATTGTGACAAATTAAGAATCGAGGAAAGGGAACATTACATATGAAGAGTTTTGTTTTGTTTGTTTTTTAATTTAACCACGTTTTTACTGAGGAATCCTATTTAACATGAATCGATAAATTACTTTTCTTTCCATGAAATGCTGTGTAGTTAGCCAGTGATTTATAAAAAAAAAACCACTAAGGATAATTGCTGCAAAAATTATTCTTTCAAGTTCCCTCTGTAAACATATATGTGTCGTTAAGACATCAAACCTCTAGACGGCGTCATTTTTAAACGAAAAGTTTTCCCTAACGGAAATAAGGGTGGATTTGTGACATCACTTCCGGAAGAGCCAAGATTATTTATTTATTTTTATCTCCACTTCCTTTGTCACCCAGTGGGTTTGAAAAAGATTTTGCTGCAAAATCTTTGCTGCAAAATCGTATTTTCTTCACAATTTCACTCTGCAAGTCCCGAAGGAGAAAAAAAAAGTATTTTCTTCACTAGCGGTAAGTCTGTACAGTGTATCTGCGCCGAGCTTAAATCAAGTGTGTTAGTTATGTGTCTCATATTCACTTCGAGTTGTTCGTTTGGTTTGTAAAATTATCAGGTTAATAAAGTCAGTCATTATGGGGGTTAATGGTAATAAAATGATTTACAGGCTCAGGTAAATGTATTGAGGCAAATCTCAAAACAGTACAGTACAGCATGATGCCATGTACTTTCTTTCTGTGAAACGTGAGATGGTAACGTGATATACAGCTGCATTTAGGCAAGTCTATCGAGTGTATATGTAATGTTTTTGGTTGACTGGGCATGCAATCTTTTACTTTTCTTATGTACTTTGGTATTAACATGGGTGCATTTTCTACACCAAACTATTAGGGTTTTTTGTATTTCCAAACTAAACATAACACAATTGGTGAGAAAATACATTTAAACCAGGATTAGGTAGAAATATTTCAAACACATATTAGTGGACAAGCAGCTAAAAGTCTTCAAAGAAGCACAATTAGCAAAAACAGCTACAAATAATGAGAAGTCTGTTCAAAATTGCCCTTTAGTTATTTCCTTTTGTAGCTAAAAAGAACCTTCTTAAAACTGGTGTTAATTAAAAATCATTTAATGGCACTATGATTATGTTCTTCATTCATTATTTGGCCTTTGTCCACCATCCAGTGATACTCAGTCATCAAGGGGAAACTGACCAGAGAATATTTCACAAATTGTGTCACCATTTCACCCAAAACATATCCAGGTTTTCTGGCCAGAAAATTTATATTATCCTTTCCACTGATATAAATGTTCCTCCTGATTCAAGATCACTGAGAGAAGCACGGACACGAGCAGCAGCAGCATCATGTCTGCAGATCTGGATCTCTCACCTCCTGAAGTTCCCGAGCCCACACTTCTAGAAAGCATACTGCGCTATGGACTGTTCCTAGGTGCCATTTTTCAGCTCATCTGCATTCTAGCTATCTTCATCCCCACACCTCAGAGCCATGAGCAGGTGACGTAAAAACTAAGACAAGGAAGTTGTGATAGAAGTTTTAATCCCAGTGCTAAGTGTAGCTAAAACAACACTAATATCAGAGTAATTGGAAGGGAACCTTTTCTTTACTATACTTTAGTAATCAGGTCACGTGATCATGGGTTTTGCTTTTCAGGAAGAGACGGAGATCACAGACAGCAAAACCACCGAACAGATGAAGAAACCAAAAGCAGCAGCACCTCAGATTCGACAGAAACCAAAGAAAGAGAGCAAAAAGAAGCGATAGATAGATAGATAGATGTGTGAGTTCTTGTATCTGCTAGTGGGAATGTGTGCCACTCCTTACAGAATGACCTAAACTTCAGTTCCATTCATTTCCATCACAGTATAACAAGGAGCGTACCGTCTTTAATAATTGATTCCTTTGTTTTAAAAAAAATGTTTTCTACATTTCATTATTAAATTCATACATTGCGTTGTATTTGAAAGGGGTGTGAATGTTTTTTCTTCATATTAATCAATGTGGTAAAGGACTGGTTAGATGTCCAATGTTTTAGTAGGAATGAAAGAATGATACGAATGATTGTATGAAAAGGCAATAAAGCAATGAATATATCACATGATCCGTGACCTGAGGGTTTGTTTATTGTGGCTTTATTTTTTTTTTTTGTGTAAAAAATCTAAGAAAACTGGGCCAGGTAATAATAATAATGGATAAAGCTACAGACGGTGTGTCTGTACAAGGGTCTATGTCAGGCATGAGCAAACTAAGGCCCGGGGGCCAGATGCAGCCCGTTCATCTTTGTAATCCGGCCAGCCTAACATGTCCAAATTATATAAATGGTTTGTATTGTAATTGTACTTCTGCCTTTTTCCTGCAATGCCCACGTTTTCCCTATAGATGGCGTAGAGAAGGCTAAAATCATTTTAGCCTTTGTGCATTAATTTTACATGTCATTTATCTTAGTTCACACAAACGCTCCATTTATCTGCTCCTGACCCGACCCCGCTGTCAAATTTTAGGACCAATTGTGGTCCGCGACTCAAAGTTTGCCCACGTCTGGTCCATATGGTGTGTGTGTGGACACATTATCACCCAGGCTCTTGGAAAACAACACATGTTACAGACAACAATCAATGTGGCCAAAATGATACTTATTGTACACAAATACAAGCCATGGTTAACAGAGGGAAAACAAAGATGGAAACTGGTGGCATGGCAGCAGGCTCAAGCTGCAGTGTGTGTGTGTGTGTGTGTGTGTGCGAGAGAGAGAGATAGAGAGAGAGAGAGGGAGAGTGGGTGGAGCTTTTCCTGAGTTCACAGGTCAAAACAATTATTTTGGCTTGATTGAATAGTGTAGTATCAGATTGAAATCTCTGGCCCCAGGATCAAAATTTCAGACTTCGGGTTACCATGGCAACACCATTGGATTTCTTTGCCTATTTCTATTTCTAGTATATCCTAACTAACGCCTATACTGAAAAATGTACTCAAGTAAAAGTATCTCTACTTTGCTTGAATTCTACTAAAGTAAAAGTACCCACGGAATTTCCCAAAGGGGAACTCCCGAGGAAATAAAGTACATTTTAAATTAAGTTTTTTTTTTACGTATTGAGTAAAAGTTACTTAGTTACTTAAAATTACTTGATGCAAATTAAGGGCGAGTCATACATCCAACCTCAAATGCTTATACTTCAAGTTCACTAAAGCACACTTGATAAATGACTAAATAAAACTTAAACCAACTAAACGGACCAATGTCCGGCACTACGTTCAGTCTGAACTATGGTCAGTCACACCATAAAACATTTTTGTTGCAAGTGCATTTGGTATAAAGTGTCAAATTCTAAATCGTACAGTCCAACCCAAAAACTACAATAGGAACGAAAAATAAAACCAAACGCAGTAACCAAGATGGTGAAAATGTAGACCTTATTAATTCCTGATTAACCTTCCTTATGTTTATAATCAATATCAAAATGTATAATCAATTTAGGTGATTAATCGCTAATGATTAGTAATGAGCCTCCACTGGTCAGACAACAAAATATTCACCCTTTTAATCCTCTCGTTTTCTCCAATCTAGTGTCTGTAGTAAAATTCAAGTTATTATGCCATAACAACAAAAGGTTATTTTGTTCATTGCTTCTTTTATTAATGTCTCTATTTACTAATTAGTGCCAGAATTGTGACAACCCAATCTGACCACGCCCACTTCAACAACCTTTCTCATTCGTAAATCTAACGTACCACTGATGGGTGTGTTTTGTTGGAGCAAATACATAAATAAATAAATAAAAAATATATCTGCTTTGTGTTTGTGGACCAAATAATATCCGCTGGTGCCGTCACGAAATATTCCGTTTAGGCGTAGCGTCGAATTACAACGTAGCCTGCGCCAATATGTTACGCAGCTGTGAATCCGCTGCTACGTAGAGAGCGTAAAGCCCTGGCTCGTCATATTTGCTCTCCAGTGTTTCATCGCTGATGCCTTTCACCCTCTGAGGATGGGCATGTTTTCTTCCCACCGCTGCTGCTCCTCTTCTGTTCCGTCGCATGAATCCACTGCACATCTTCCTCTCAGCTGACCAGACTGCAGCTGCTTCTCCCCGGCTCTTGGTGTCGGTGTTTTTGTCCGGCCCTGCGCAGCCTCCAGTCCAGTCGAGTCCAGTCCAGTCCAGGCCGGCAGCGACACTAGCATCAGCTGTGTCCTCCGCTCCGCTCCGCTCCTGAAGGGACAGCGGCCGGCTCTTCACCGTGACCCGCTCCTTTCACGATTATCCTGGTGAATTTCGCTAAATGGACTTCGTGGCTGTTCGGAGTTCTCCACAGCAGCCGTTCACCCGCTCCTCCTCTCATTATTCCTCTAATGAGAACAGCCTAGTGATTTAAGTCGGCTCCTCGCTGCGCGTCTCTGATTTTTGGGCTGAAAATCAAGACGCGGCAAAGGTGAGTCAAACAGCGCCTGATAGCAAACGGTCAGGTTTTCTATTTCGAATTAACGACAAATGGAGCGTTTGTGTCTTTAACCGCCTATTTTAATGTACATAGATTCAATTAAAACACACTGCTCTTTCTCTAGCTCTCTCTCTCCCTCTCTCTCTTTTATTGACCTGTGTTTCATTGTTGCACAGGCCATTCACTCTCATTTATTCAGTGGCTCTCAGTCTGTGCCAAAGGCTTGGACCTGAAAATACCACCCGTCACCAAATGACACCTTGGTTTATTTTAATAATGTGTGAAACAACCTAATACATGCGGGAACGTCGTTTTTAGTCAATCTCGCGCACGGGAAATAAAACCAACAAGGCATCGACGTTCAAAATGGAGCTGTAGCAGCACCTGTTTTGATTCATCAGGCCGCATACGCGCTGTATATGAACCGGAACGGAGGAACCACGACAGCAGCTCCACTCATCCACACACCCGTGTTTACAAAACCTCGAATCCGTTCTGCTTGCATTTCGTTTCATCTCTTATTCCCAGCGCCGATGCTGCCGTTATTCCCTCAGCTGCTCCACACTGTAGGATTCTATTACACCCCACCCTTGTTTATCCTAAAGCAGCTATACAGGCAACAACTGTGCTAAATTCTTTGGAAATATAGACATTGAAGTTATGTGGCTCATCTGTCTGCTGCCACCCAGGCACTAAAACATGGTGCTGGTCAACATTGGATTTTTTTTTTATGAAGAGCCAAAAGAGTAACTTAATCAGATAAACATTAGAGAGATGCTCAGATGTAGCTGTCATCTAGAGGGGTTTGAAAACCTACTGAAATGATTGTGCTTGGCTGGGAAAAGGAAGTAGTGACTAGAACGCAGCCTTGACTCAAAGGTGTAGTGTGTCGGAATTTCCTAAAGATAATAAACTGTCGGATGGTATATGGTAAAACCCAGCCTCCCGGCCATTGATACAAGGTTCTAGGAAGTATGAAAGGCAGTGTTCACCAGCCATCTTTATGCATTTTCTAATTTCCGATTATCTTTTAAGTAATTTAATTTTTACAAAGCCAGGAAATGCAACTAGATGGAGAAGCTGTTATGACCACAAAAAAGTAAAAGATTTTTTTTTCTATTAAGCGTTGCTTGTTGCTAACTTACATTAATACCCATGATTAAACTTTTGACTAGTCCATTCTTTTCAGCAAATCTTTAAGTGTGGGAAACAATCTTACAGAGTAATATTTGATAAATTAGCACAATGATTCCTTGTATTTCTCTGCACTGTTCCCCGAGGGGTTTGTTTACGTGCCGTCATTGTAATGCTCTTCCAGTGAACTGCTAAAGTGGAGGACTGTTAAGTACTGTTGCAGTTGTGACCCTGTGACCCAGGAGGACCTGCACCCTTTGGCCTCCTTCGTGGCATTTATCATCTTTTCGCAGCTGCTTCCCACGGCTTAGATCACTCACTGTCTGAGTGTCCAGTTAAAGATGGACAGAAAGCAGAAGTGTCCTTTATCAGTGGGATAACACAACAGCTCTGTCTTCCTCTTCCTCCTCTCACATGTTCCCTCTGTGTGTTCGTCACTCAGGAAGTGGCAGCATGAGATGGATTGGCTTGAAACGAATGATGATTAGTCATTTTAGTCTGATCCGAGCCAAATGGTAATACATTTATCAACGTACCAATTTATTAATTACTGATTTAAAAGCAGTGGAGGCAACATGGATGATGATGTATTTCAGATTTGACAGTGAAGTTACATTTGTACCTATATGTAGGTAATTTCGGAACTTTAACAAATGTCACTAACATTGTAAATTCACCTCTCTGATGAAGTCTAGTTTTGTTTTGTAAACAGCGTGACTCTGCCGTTCATTATGCTAACAGGACATTGCATGACATCATGACTTACAAATCGTACGTTGGGGACGAATATGAGGGCATCGCCGACAGCAATGTTTTCAAAATGAAGCCGACTTCAGTAAGAATCGCCAATTAGTTTAGCACTTAAATCATATGAGATGTTGACTTTGGATGCAATTTCTGCAAAGGTGTGGTGGGGGGGGGGGGGGGAAAATGGGGGGGGGGGGGGGGGGGGGGGGGGTAAACTGAGTGCGGGTCGGCGAGATGAGACGTTTAAGACCGTTTGTTATTTAGGTTATAGAGTAACTAATATTGTGGTGGTTATAATTAAGTGTTGAAGAGCTGTTGCTCCTTATTGTATGTAGCAGACACACTGCATTTAGGGTTTGTTTACTTGGACACGGTCCAGTTTTGTCTCCCGATCACACTGTCAACTTCCCCACTTAGCCTCGAAAAACCTGATTGGTCGTATTCGTGATGACAGTGATGATCTTGTGTCTGTGACACTGGAGGAACGAGTTCATCATTAAAATGCGTCTTCTGGACTGGGGTGCTTTAATAGCGACGCGCTGGGCCACGTTAATGTCAGAGCGCATGACGGCGATGCCAAGAGTGCAAATTTCCATTTGGAGGGAAATCGTCGTTGATCCTCCTCAGTTGCCTCCACTTCACTGAGCAAACTATAATTTTCCCATTTGACTGAAAGGTTGGCCTTTAACTCCCTCCCTTCTCCACAGCGCAGTGGCAACTGTGTCTGTTGTTGTGACTTTGTCAGAGGATTGTCACGGCCAAATGTGCTCGTGTGTCTGAAGCGAGGCTGCAAACGAAAATGTTGTTGTTCAAAGAGGTGACGGTCTACTTCAGACAGTCATGTAATGTAAATATATTACATGTCCTCGTCTGATTTATCTTCATTTATCCATTTTCATACAGTTGACACTAAATATTTATGCTGGTAGGACTTTGCTCTGGGTAATTTCCTCTCCTGAATTCTCATTTATGCTGGTAAGACTTTGCTCTGAACTCTGGGTAATTTCCTCTCCTGAATTCTGTCTTTGCCAATGTTTAAATGGAAAAAGAGAAATCCTAAAATTAGTTGAAGATCCTTTATTACTCAGAAAACCTCTGGTGTCTCAACAACTTCACTCAAAAATATGTGCCACTTAAAGGTAACTACTTAAAAACAGACAATGACTTTTACTTTGTCCAAACTTATTGATCCAACATCAAACCACTGAATTGTTTGTCATTGTATAAATCCACAACTCTGAAACTATGTTTCATCAGTTAAGTTCTCATGGAAATTCTGTTTTTACTCAACGTGCTGCATGTTCTTCTTCAGTAGTATCGTTGTAGTTTGCATTTCTTTCTTCCTAAAAGAGATGAGTATAAAGTCTGTGGCGGCTGTGAAAAGGAGAAGCAGGACCTGGTGTCTCTATGGTAGTGGTGGGCGGATCGATCCAAATATCGATAGTAGCGATACCAAGTCGGTATCAGATTGATACTAGCCTGGTGAGATCGATAGATTCTTTACTTTAAGTTCCGCTCTTGTTTTTAATGCTGTTTTTGCTGGCTGTTTCGGCAAAAGGAAACAGCCAGGTCGATGAACTCGCCGCTGCTGTGTCAGCGCAGAGCAGGCACACTTTGCTCCCCCTCCCCACTCTTGTGTTTTGAAAATGATGAAAATTAATTGATTTAGCAATTCAACAACGCATCCACCTTACTTATTGAAAGGTATCAGATCGGTATCGGCGATACTGGCCCATATTTACGGATCGATACCAAAATATGCAGTATCGCACACCACTACTCTATGGAACGTTCGGTGTTTTCCAAAGATGCTCTTAGTCTTAATTTCCCTGATGCTTTAGGTTTACAGTGTTGTTAACAGGCTGGGAGTCAGTGTAATGTCATTTTGATTGACTTCTGGTGATGTTTTTATTTTACCGTCACAGTTGAGGGAAGGAACAACCCTTTCAGTGGAGACTGTCTACAGTCACACGAGCCGTGTTTTCAGCCCGACTCTGAGAAAAATGCCCGTCCTTTATGTCAAAAACCTGATTTAAAATGACAGTGTGTGTTAATGCCATTTTCTCCCATCACAGCACATGCCGTAATGACACATAATGGAAAAATAGGCCTGCTGTGATTCAGTTTGGTTTTCCTTAAACGTGTTAGGCCTTGCCTGCTTTATTAACTTACATTCCTTTCGGGCATTGAGGCTTGTGGCCTTTACTTTCCATCCTTTTTTCTGCAGTCCTCCCGTTCCCCCTCCTTTTTAACCAACATTAGCTTTGAGTGAAAAGACGACCTGATAGATTTTACATGACTCACTGAGTCAACGTTGACTCTGAGACCATCAAAGGTCAGAGAGTTATTGCTTGTAGCAACCACGTAGCTATTGAAACTTTGCCGTACACGTTGTGTAAATGTTCCGGGTGTCGATCAAAAGTTGCGTACCATTTTATAGGTTTGTCTACAGTATATTCTTGTATCTTTTCTTCAGTACTGTAATTAAAACCTTTAACAAAAAAGGAGTTGTTGTTATAATTTTAACAACAACAAAACAGCAAAAACATTTAACCATTCCAATTATGGCAATAGTATATTAAGTTTAATTACTGCAGTATTATTATAGATTATATTTAATATATATTATAGTTTATAGTTTAATTACTGCAGTATTATTATAGACTTATAATTAAAAATAAATCTATAATATTATTATAATTAAAATACCAAACAAACCTGATTGGGTTAGGAGGCTGTTATTCTTTTTTTTTTGCTGTTAGCAAGAAAGCAAGTTGAAAGATTTAGTGTGTTCAATTGGTTCAAAATTGGTTATTTAAAATAAATAAATTGATTTAAAGAATCGCTTCCTTCTGTAAAATTGCGTTAACTGTAATTTCCTGAAGCAAAAACAAACAAAAAACTTAGAGCCTTCAAAGTCATAAAAAGAGCTTCTTTCTCACTCCTCACTCTTTCATCCTTGTCATAATCTCTCTCCTCCCTCCTTTCCTCCCATCCTGACCTCCCACTGCTCAGGTACCTGCTCAGGTTGCAGTTTTTGGCAGTGTTAGCACTTTGTAGTGCATTCTGGGTCTGCTGCATTCTTCAGTTCTTTCTGTGGATGGAAAAACTCCCCAATGAATGAAACCTCTGCTCATTTCCATGTCTCCTTACTTCCACCGTCCTCCCCCGTAGATCGTCTTTGACGGTTATTTACTTTTAAAACCTGTAAATAGTGAGCTAAACTTTTTGATGTAAGTGCAGTTTTGACACATTGTAGTGAAGGTGTGAGGTTCTTAAGAGTGTGAGCCCAGGAGAGAGTCTTTGAAGGTGGTAACAAAACTGTTTTAACGTGGTGTTCCCTCTGCTCATCATTGCGTGCTTTAGCTTTACGCTAGGTTAATTTGCTCGCTCGATCGCTAACCTAAACGTCTTAAAGAAAGTTATTATTCCTGTAAAACAAACTAATATCTAAAGAATGCAATAGAGCCACCTACAGGCGATTTGTAACTAGCTAAAGAATTCTTGTAAACCAAAAAAAAAGCTCATAATCTACAATAAATGTGTATATATATATATACAAATAACACCTTGTTTTATCACTTTTTTCCTCTTTTTTTTCCAAATCAAATTTATGCCATTTATAACCTTTACTCTCTGTAATTTATATACACTACTATATTTTGTCATGCAGCAGCTGCTCATTTATTAGGAACCATACGGTTTGGCTAATCAATTGATTCCTACCATCTGTTCTATACGTAAGCCTGATCACTGCAACAATAGAGTGTTTGTGCAGTTACGGTTTTTAAAATCAGAATATCAGCTGCTGATTCATGTTATAGAAGCTCATCTTCTCACTCTCCAACGTTCCGTCCCTGCTTGAATTGTTAATTCATATTTACTTATCTTCATGATGGAGACAAGACCGGGAAAAATGTCAAAGTGTGATTATTGCGTCTTTTCCTTCTGGGTCACATGATATCATATCTGTGTTGAGGTCATCAGACACTGCTGTCCACTTTACTGACAGGTTTCCGTGATATCATAACGTAAACGTCCTTTCTTGCGTGCTACGAGGCCTTTGTTTGCCTTTTAATTCGCCCTTAAACCCACTCCACATCCTTAATGAACCAGGAGACTCACAAGGGAGAACCTTAGCGGAAAGTATAAGGGAAGTAGTGACGGGATGTGTGGATCAGAGCTTGATGCCGGGATCTTGATTAGTGACGAGGTGAAATGAGTCAGAAGTCGTTTTATACGGCAGCAGTAAACGCAGTACATTCCCCTCGGATTCAACCACCTCTGGCTGTCTCTCTGCACACATCCACTCCATAAGCTGCTAAACACCGTTTATCTGTTGGGGAAAAAAGCCTTCATTACTACTTTAAATCTGCCAAGACTGCAATCCAGTAGCGGAGCATAGCCGTGGAACGCCGCGTCCCGTCGACTGCTACAGGTAACGTAGTGGTTTTACTGGACACACAACTCCCCCGAGTCCTGTCCATCTTGCTGGGATGTGACTCACTGTTGCACCATGGGGTATGTTGACTACCCCCCCCATCCCTCACACCACCCGTGAGCCACATTTCACCCTTGCAGAAGTTGAATCAAATCTAGGGTGGCTTATTATTTGTGTGTGTGTGTGTGCAGCTTACACACCCACGCCTCTCTGAAGTAGGAGCTCTCTGTTTCTAAGAATTCTCATACCTGTGTAATTATGTTCTTGTTGCACACATGCATTTAAAAACGCCCACTGAGCCTTTGCTGTCCATGAAGTACACAACCACCTACACGCTGCTTTTCCCAGCCCCTGTGAGTCGCTTTCTCCTCGGTCTCCTAATAACCCTCTGCTCTCCTTCCCATCAGTCTTAGCGTTAGAGCATTGGAAACATTCACATATGTTGGAAAAAGGATGTGAAACCCACTGTGGTCGAGTGTTAGTGTGTGATAGAGCCTTGTTTTCCAAAAGACAAGAACAGCTGAACACATAGTACACCCACTGACGGGGGAGGACGGGGGGGTGGGGGGACGGGGGGGCGTGAATACTCTATCTGGAACTGATGCTGCCTCTATTCTCTGAGGAACAACGCTGTTTCATGTGTGTGTGTGTGTGTGTGTGTCTTTTTAAGTGGCCTCTCTCACAGTGAGTCACTGCTGCACAGGTCTTTGAGTGGACGCAGAGAGTGGACATTCAAGCATTCTGCGTCTCCACTTGACTGTCTGAGTGTGTTTGTCTTTGTCTCCGACGTGTCGACTCTGACTCCCTCATTTATCAGGCCATTATCGACTGGTTCAACAGCGGGGCGGGAAATAGAAGCAGCAGAATACTGTAATTATCAGCAGAAGACACAACAGTCGCTGTCACTGTCACTTCAACAGGGCTTTGTTCAGGGCTCCGTGTTCCCGGTGTGTTCCCATTGATTCACTGTTTTAAATCAACACACAAGAGGGGAATGACCTTGACTGTATCTGTGCTCAGTATCTGAAGTTGTGCAGTATTTACGTACATACAGAACTGTTCCATCTAGGGATGTCCGATATTATTGGCAAACTGATATCGTTAGCCCGATATCAGCATAATTATAATAATAATATCTGTAAGAATCGTTGTCGATTTTCCTATGATAATGAAAACCTGCTAACCCCATTCCTTGGTTTCGCTAAGTGATCTGTGCCCTTAAAATAGTTTGGGGGGAAAACGGCCGTATATGAAAGTAAAGGTCACTAGATGGCAGCATTGCAGCTCATTTTATTAATCTGTTCTAATAATCAAAGCATTGTAAGCATTTCAATACAGTGGTTTGTTCAGGTAAACAAATAAATACTACCAGGCTCTTCATAGCATTTCAATTCGGGGCGGGGCAGAAAAAAATTGAGAAACACTGCCCTCACCCATCACCTTAGTGAGCAGGCGGCACTTACATTCCTTAACCACCAGGCCACCACTGCCCCTCGATATTGGTATAGGTTGGTATCGGAATCGGAAACTAAGTGGACAATATTGGCAAAAAGTTAATATCGGACATCCCTAGTTCTGACGGAACTGGGAACTATTTCATGGATACACACATCTGAAGCACACTGGACTGTGGGATATAGGTGAGGAAAAAAAAACAAAAAACAGAACTTTGATTACAATTCCAAGAAAGAATTTTGAAAAAAATTACTGAGTAACTTTTTCAAGATCTGATTTTATGTATTTATTTTTAAATTATTTGTATTACAATTTAATTTTTTGACAGAGTGAAAATGTGATCATTTATACAAGACCTAGCTTTGATCCTGTGGGTCAAAGCTAGCAAAACTATGTCACAGCTGACTTTAGGGAACAGGCGAGGAATATCCTGTACAGATTACTAACGGCCAACAGCGTCTTAGTCAGATTATCCTATAAATCATTAGCATTTTCATGGTAACAGCCCAGTTTCTCTATCCCCTTATCTCAGGTCTGTACATGGGGGCAGGCAAGAGCAAGCCCAAGGAGCACGGCCAACGCTCCATGAGCCTGGATGGCACCATCGGCACCGGCTCAGATAGCGGACGCTTCCACCACCTCGGACCCGCCCAGCAGACCCAAACCCCCAACAGGAGCCCTGCCGTAGGCACAGGCAGACGGGGGCATCAAGGGCAGCACCAGCACGTCCCGACCAACACCCCAGAGTCGGCTCTTTTTGGAGGTGTGCACACTGGAACCATCACCTCGCCGCAGAGAGGACCTCTGGCAGGTAAGGAAGCAGTTAGAAAGCGGCTGTACGGTTTTGGTTTTTTTTTGTTTGCTTTTTTTTTTGCAGCCTTTATGGTGAGATAAGTTAACAGTTTCCTCTTTCACGTTTCATGTTTTAGACAGGGATGTGGATCGTTGGTCTCACATAATGAAATACCAGTTTCCATTTCCCCATTAGCTCCATTACAACACACTGTAGCCTTCAGACCTAGAACCAACGTTGTAAGTGGTGTCACAGTCTGGACGCTATTGAAGCTCTTGCCTCTCTAAAATGTCTTGATGGTAAATCCTCCCCACCCACACCCCCCATCCAGAGGGAGCCTCCTCTTCCTGATGTGCATTTAACGACTCATAGCTGATGAAGTCATGCTCATATAATCAAGAAGAAAAAAAGACCGTCAGTTTGACGTCCTCATCCTTGGAGGTCTGAAGTCTGAATGTCCATATTTCTCATTATCCTTTGTCCAGATATGGCACTGAAGCAAAATAAGAAAGGAAAAAATGATCTGTAGTTTTGTGGCCAGGACCAGACAAACTGTTAAATTGTGGAAGTTGATGCGAGTCGTTTCATGCAGGGAAGTCCCGTTTGTTTTAAATAACCATGTTCCTTAAATATGTATTTCCATATTTCCTGCAGGAGGCGTCACCACGTTCGTGGCTTTGTATGACTATGAGTCACGGACAGCATCTGACCTGACCTTCAGGAAAGGCGACAAGCTGCAGATAGTCAACAACACGTAAGAGTCAAGTCACCCCTCTCTCTTTCTGATGCTTCACACGAACTCAAATGATCAGATACGTTGAGCTGAGGACACACTGCACTTCAGAAAACCATCTAAGCTCATGCTGACAGACAGACGAGGGACAGCAAACACTCGTTTTTAAAACCAACTAAATACACAGAACCATCAGACTTAGCCGCCGTAGCCATCTCCACATGAACATCTGAACAATCCCCTCAATTTCTGTGCTCCACGTTCACTTTGCTGTCTCTCTCACTATTCCAAATTCTGGCATTTAGGTGTTCTCTTCACTTCCCATCATCCTCTGAGAATGCCTTTTTTTCATTCGCTATTGGCAAACACACGTTTGCAGTCGGGTCGATAATCAGTCCACATCACGCCCTCATTACACCAGATTTGGCTCAAACTATTTGAATCGTGTCTTTGTAGCATGTCCTCAGCTTTATTTACTGTTATTTTCCTTGTCTTTTCTTTTGCACTCTCTCCGTGCCTTCCTGTCTAGTCTGGCACTACACAATAAGAGCACTTTATTCTTCATTATTTTACACACCATAATGGTATACATACTCACATAAAACTACCCAGTGGATACAGTATTTGTTTGTAATTGTCAATGGCAACAATAATGCACATAATCTCAGAAATCCACCGTTTGTGTATCGAGTTTAAAAAATAAAACTCCATGCCGAGATAAAATAAAAATACAATTATGATGCAGTACAGTACGTGCAGCCCCATTGGGCGGTCCCACTGCGTATCTAGCTCTTCTTTTTTTTTTTAATCTGTCTTTGCTTCGACGTGCTGCTTGCTTTGCTATGTCTCTTTGCCGTCTTTTGATGTGTCTGCTCTGTCTGTTATCTCCCCCTCTCTCTTTTTTGCTCACGCTTCACGGTTTCTCCTAGGAAAAAGTACAGCTTCAGGTCAGTAATACTTGATGTAATGAAATAAAATACCTTGTGTCACCTTTTTTTGTTCTTACACGAGTTGTCTAGGTGAGATTGGTAGTTCAAATTCATATTATGGCTCCACTGCTATCTCACTGTAAGGGCCACAAACTGACTGGGGATTACATAATAATGACATCTAGATGTGGGCCGCATGTGAGTGGTTTGTGGGCTGAAAGTGGCCCGTGGGCCAGGAGTTTAGGACCCTCTTCTTTTTTTTTTTAATTACTGTACTGTACAGAAAGGTGTAAAATGGATTAGTTTGCAACACTGTTGTGTTCATACTGGAATATGAAAATATACAGGCTGATATCTTTCCTGTTCACAGGCAATCGCTCCACAAGTGATGATCCATTAAATGAAAATAAATAAATAAATATAAGCAGTTCATAGATAAATAGATAGAAAGAACTTTATTCATTTTAATTCATTAATGTGTGTCTTTTATAGCTATGTTTTAAACAAAAACACTGAAAAGTATGGAGTTTTGATCATGGAGGGCATCATGTTTTATGACAGTGATGCCTTCACTGCCCAAGTTCCATTGCGGCAGCATGACAACGGCTGCGTTTGTACATTACGGCAGCATGACAACGGCTGCGTTTGTAACAAACGCGTGTCGTGTTGACGAAAATGAGCTTTACTTCAAACCATGGATCAAATGCGTATCACTTTGCCCTGTGTGTTAGAGACAACAGGTGAATGTAGTTCATTTTTAAGCAGACCTCAGGCAACATCATGTGAAAATGTAGTAGTATATAAATCACATATTTTAAAATTGAAGTATTTTTTTCCCTTTTTTTTTTTTCCTTCTTCGCTGTTGCCCTTCTGGACTTTATCCATCACCCTATCCAGTCACAAAGTCTCTCAACCTTGTGGAATAAATTATTCATATTTATTGGTTGAATTTAACTTGTTTTTAAGCATCAACATTATGAAACTAACAAAAAAAAAACTCCTCAGGTTCCTGTTGATTGTCGACTATGTTTCTCTCTCATGGTCTCTCTCTCTCCGTTTCTCTCTCTCTCTCAGAGAAGGCGATTGGTGGCTAGCTCGCTCCCTGACAACAGGGGAGAGTGGTTATATACCCAGCAACTATGTGGCTCCGTCTGACTCCATTCAAGCAGAAGAGTAAATTATTCCCTCCTCTGTCTCACACTTGCAGCTTGTTTTTCTCTTGATTTTTTTTTCCTCTGTAGAAAAGTTCAACCATCTTTAAAGACTCTCAGGTGTTTGTTACGGACATGACTTCATCTTGATGTCATGATGACGCCCCCAGAACACATTAGGAATCCTTGGTTATGCTAATGCACACCATTATCACACACTTACTGTCTATACTTAGATGGCCTTTTTTTTTTTTTTTTTTTCTCTCAGGTGGTATTTTGGGAAGATCACACGGCGTGACTCAGAGAGGCTCCTTCTGAATCTCCAGAACAGAAGAGGAACCTTCTTGGTGCGAGAGAGTGAGACCACTAAAGGTGAGCGAGCAAACGCCAACATCACTGCAAAGTAGCGTCACATCACTTCTAATGTACTATCACACAATGAAGTACTTACAGTCGTATACCAGATACACTGGTAACTGTCAAGTATTGATGGTTGTGATAAATGGAAAAGTTACCGACATATTTTCATATCCATATTTTTCCCGGTCAAGGACTATTTAAATATGATATTGTTTACAGTTAGACTTTCACAATTAATTTGAATCAATTTTAGTGTATCACTATATTGAAGTTGCCTAAAAAATAATGATAAATGCTAATAATAGTAATAATTAATCCTAAAATATACAAATAGTTTGCCTTGTAAGATAAGGAGTTGAAAAATAGAATTTGTGAGCTTTTAAAAATATTATATAACATTATAGAAGTCATGTCTGCTACCAGAAGGTTTGGGGTTTGATACCTGCCCAGTCCCAAAATACCTAGTTTGGTTGCTTCAGGAAAAGCATCAAGTCTACTATTGTAGAAACTCTGTATGACGGGACGAGCTGAAAGTGGATGTGAGTTTTTATTGCACCAGTCAGTACGTCATAACTAAGCTGTTAAAGGTAGGCTTTGTGCACGGATTTTAAGAAGTTAAAATATCCTAAAAAGAACCACACGATGAAACATACAAACATGTTTTTGTTTTCTGTGCTTGTGATAAAGTGTTTGATTTTTCAAATCGAGTCTGGCAGCAGAGACCAGGTCTCAGTCATGTAGGTGAAACATCAGGAGGTTGGTTTTTGAGGAAGTGTGAACGGAGGTAAAAAAAAAAAAAGTGTGGTGGAGTGCAGTAGAGTTTATGAATGGAAAAGAGTGAATCACACGCTCTGCCAGAACTAGGTCATCCTGGAAGGGTGCTGGATTTCCCCACTGGTTGAGTCCCTGTAGTCCCAACACACACACACACACACACTCACACAGTTTTCCGAGAGAAAGCGAGGCTGACAGAGAGGGGAGAACAGTGGAGAGGAGACCCTTGGGGAATTGGGGGCAGGGGTCAGGGACAGGAGGGGGAGGAGCCCTGGCTTCAGAGAGCGTCTTGTATTAGATGTCAGATGTGAGGCTCACAGTGTGACAGATGAGCAGAGGCCTGCTGGCCATATGCTGCAGAAAGTGTACATTTCATACGAGTCTATTTAAAACGTACGACGGGGGAGAAAACGTTGACTCACTTCTGCTTTAACAGGAAGTGAAAACCTATAAGCTGAGCTCAGATCACTTCAGGTAGTTTAAAGATGTCAGGAAAAATCGGAAGTGAATAACAAATGACAAAAATCCCTTTTATTTATTTCCCTAATGTGGTTAATTGGGAGTTATGTAAATTGGTGCCCAGGTATTTAGAGAACAGCCCCTATGGGGCAGCAGTGGTAATGCACTGCAGTCCAGAATGACTTAAGTCAATTAGACGAGGTAAATGTGTCACATTGAGTTGATGATCATTTTTCTGACTCATTTGCAACAAAGTGTTAATGAGGACAAACTGAGGTTTTTACCTGTTCCAGTAATGTACGGAATTTTTTTTTAATCATTTTGGAATGACGATTTAGCTTGATTAATCATGATTAATTGTTATCAGTTCTGAGTAATCATGATTAATTGTAACCAATCCCGATTAATCAAGATGACTTCATTGATTAATCATAAAGGATTCTAAAAAAGACTGTTTTACAATCAGCCCTTTTTTTTCTATTTTGTGTTAAAACAGTTTCTAAATCCATTTTATTTGTCTTTGTTGTTTGATTTGCTCTAAGACCAAACAAAGAGAAAGTCGCAGTGGGTCGAGGCCGGAGAAACAGAAAGCAGAGCCAAACTTATACGACCCCCAGTAACAGTCAGTAACAGAGGCTTTCCCAGCACAGCTGTTAGGAAAATCCAGAGAGCAGCTGCCACACAGACTGTGAAGCACCTGCTCCTATTGATCTGACCTGTCTCCGTCTGTCTCCGTCTGTCTGTTGTCTCTGCTTGTAAACAGGGGCGTACTGTCTGTCAGTGCTGGACTATGACAACACCAAAGGCCTGAACGTCAAACATTACAAGATCAGGAAGCTGGACAGTGGTGGTTTCTACATCACGTCTCGTACCCAGTTCACCAGCTTACAGCAGTTAGTCTTCCACTACTGCAGTGAGTCAACGCACACACACCTGCTTGTTTTCAACAGTTTACAAAAGTCAGTTTATCAAAATGATCTATCTTTTTTTTTTTTCCAGAGCACTCTGACGGGTTATGCCATGCACTGACAGACGTGTGTCCTGTGGCCAAACCTCAGACCCAGGGCCTGGCCAGAGACGCCTGGGAGATCCCCCGAGAGTCCCTGCGCCTGGATCTGAAACTGGGGCAGGGATGTTTTGGAGAAGTGTGGATGGGTGAGTGATAGTAACACGCCTGGCAGTTATCAATCTCGCCATTTCCCTGTTGAATCACAATATATGATATTTATAAGGGATGCACTGAAATTAAAATTCTTGGCCGAAAACAGAAAACCAAAACACAGGAAGAAATTATTATCAATTATTAGTACCATAGCATTTGTGGCTATGACTGTGAACTAAACCTCAATAAAATCAAGGCACTGCGATGGCATAAACTAATAATAAATCAATAATAAATTAATAATTGTCAAAATAATTAATTGTCAAATGTCTAGCAGAGAAATAAAATCAACTGATAATCACATGGGAAGTCAGAACAGAATAGCCTAGCTATTATTATTTGAGGTACTCTCCAAGCGGGTTCTCCCATCGTGACCTTGATCATTTCTCGTGCGTAATGATCTTTATAACGCGGATCAAGTGCAGTCGTGACGAGTGCAGTGGATCTGATCAGATCTCAGTGAAACGTGTGCTGATTCTGAGTGGACTTTCCACCCCATCTTGAAATTTCAGCATTACACGTTTTGCAAATCGCCATCCGTGGGTCGTTCTTAGATTTATTGAAATACATCCACGATGCAGACATGTTGGTACTTTCAGACAAGCCCGCGCTGGCCGCGGTTTTTGCTTGCATCATCATAACTTCCTGTTTCGACCGTGTTGTTTCGGTGATAAAAGTACTTTAGGGCCATGGATCAGATTACATAAGGATAAAATGATCATTAAAAAGTGTGTGTTTGGACGTGGTGTTAAATACTAAACCAACATATATTCAATGAAAGTACGATGAAAAGGACGATAAAGTGATATTTATTGAAAACAACAACTGTTATGGAACGTTACGTTACTGAGTCACTCATGCAGTGCTGCCTCCTTCAAGGAGAGCAGAAATAAAGATTGCACTTCAAGCAGTTTTATTTTAACAAATCTAACAGGAAAAGACCAGAACAGAAACGCTGCCTCAGCTCTGACTCACACTGATCCTTGTTGTCTCGCTCGCTCGCACCGTGCATCCTCGTCGGACATTATCTTCTGCAGTTACATCAAACCAACACTGGGCAGAACACGACGAGGTATCGGACTGACTGATTACGTTATGAACGGAACCTAACATCAAAGAAAAACACTTTTATAGTCACACTCCTGCACTTTATGCTGTTGCAAATCACATAAAAGACTTTGGAATTCAAACATTTGGTGTGAACAAGTTTCCATCTTCCCCACAAAACACATTCTTTTGCTGTCATCTGACACTACATATGTCAATATATTGTAAAAACTCATCCCAGTCCGATTCCTTATGTAAAGAGAACATTAAAAACTGACTGAAATGACTGTGTTTTTTTTTTTCTAACAGGGACGTGGAATGCTACGACTCGAGTTGCCATCAAGACCCTGAAGCCCGGCACCATGTCTCCGGAGGCTTTCCTCCAGGAAGCGCAGGTCATGAAGAAGCTAAGGCACGAGAAGTTGGTGCAGCTGTACGCCGTGGTCTCTGAAGAACCCATCTACATCGTGACAGAGTACATGAGCCAAGGTGATGCTGATGAAATTTAAAAAAAAAAAAAAAAAAAGCGGTGCCAAAATGGGTGTCAGTATCAGACTGTAATGTTTTGGTCCTTCGTTGACAGGAAGTTTATTAGATTTCCTCAAGGGAGATGCTGGAAAGATGCTTCGTCTGCCTCAGCTGGTGGACATGGCTGCTCAGGTACAGACAAACTATATGTTTACGTTATGATTCACTTGAATTGTGTATCTTCTAACCACACACGATCCCTAAACATTTAAACGGCCCTAAAACAGTGTCATGAACCCATGTGCCCTCTGTTCAGATTGCTGCAGGCATGGCCTACGTGGAGAGAATGAACTACGTCCACAGAGACCTGCGAGCAGCCAACATCCTGGTAGGAGATAACCTGGTGTGTAAAGTAGCAGACTTTGGCCTGGCAAGGCTCATTGAAGACAACGAATACACCGCCAGGCAGGGTAAGTCTGTTCTATCTGATTATAGAGGAAATAAAAACCTGCTGCACCTTTCTACAAACCATCTTAAAGCAAAAATCAATTTCATTACACCAAAGGCCAAAGGCCATTACTGTGGACTGGCAATACCTACATTTTCTAAATCAAACATCTGTTAGTCTTTCTTCTGTCAGTATCAGAGTCTGAATGACCTGTTGTTTGAAACATTGACAGATTATCTTGGAATGAAGAAAGTAAAGGATATGACTGGATTTTTTTGAGTGAAGTAAATTAGTCAAATTGAAGTACATTTTTTCCAGTGTCCCGGTACCAAATGACCTACGGACTGGCACTGGTCCCCGGACCTGGGGTTGGGTCTTCTTTTTTGGGTTGTACCGTACAGCAGAACATAGAGGAATTTAACAGAGCTACTGACTCAAACCATAGCCTGACTACTGGAAAATGATCCTTTCCTACCTCAGCAATTGACATCATTTTCAAATCATCCAATTATTCTGTGGTTAGACTGAAAGATACACTGGAATATATTCCAGAAAAAAAAAAGCAAAGTAATCGTGAGTGTGGTGATTAACAGGCCAACATTTATTTACATTTTGTTGTGGACATTAAGAGAAAATCTTTACAGATATGACGTTGACATTTTTCATTTAAAGTCATACGTTTGGCTTTTTAATCGTGTAAAAATGAAATACATTTTAAATAAATTAATTGATTTATTTTTGTTGTATCAAAGGAGCCAAGTTTCCCATAAAGTGGACAGCACCAGAGGCGGCTCTGTACGGCCGCTTCACCATCAAGTCAGACGTCTGGTCCTTCGGCGTTCTGCTCACAGAGCTGGCTACTAAAGGCAGAGTCCCTTATCCAGGTACCCACTTCACCGTCCACCAGAGCTCGTGGAGACATTTCTCAAATGCACTCTTATTTTCTGTGTTCTCTGGTTTGTTTTGCTCAACATCCTCCTCCTGTATTTTCTTGGCAGGAATGGTGAACCGTGAGGTTCTGGACCAGGTGGAGCGTGGCTACAGAATGCCTTGTCCAGCAGAGTGTCCCATCTCCTTACACGAGCTCATGCTCTCCTGCTGGAGGAAGGACCCAGAGGAAAGGCCTACCTTCGAGTACCTGCAGGGCTTCCTAGAGGACTACTTCACCTCCACAGAACCCCAGTATCAGCCTGGGGAGAACCTATAGAACCCCGAAATGAAAATTAAAAAAAAAAAAAAAGATGGAGGAGAACCTCATCACTGAAAGATCTGCACTAACCGACCTCAGAGGAAAAACTGTGAAACGCATCTGGGAAGACGTTGGGATTCTTCTGCAGAAGCAAAACCAACACCGACAAGGAGACCGGTAGAACGTTCCCCCGTGGGTTCTCCACGCTGCTGCTGCTGCAGAAGAATCCGGAGAACATCCTCCCTGGAATATTCACTGTTTACTTCCGGTTCTCCTGTAGCTACGGAAGGAGAACTGGTACTGGACAGAACTCTGGCTACAGATGGCCTGAAAGATGTAACTGTAAAAATCAGGAGGTGAAGAAAAAACAAAAGGAGCTTGGTGTTAAAGAGAGAAGGAAACGGGAAGGAATTCAGGTGGAGCATGAGCATCTCTCCCTACTCCCTCCACCGTCACGTCTCTCTGATCCTCCTGGTACATTCTCCTCCCACAGAAGAGCACTGCCACTGAGGCTCAGCTGCCAAAGGAAAGTCAGTCTCTCTTAAGGCAACTCTCACCCCTCCGTCCCTCTGTCCGTCCCCCCC